GATGTAAAATCACCGAATCCAATAAATTCCTTCCAAACTTCACCAAAATTTTTATCATTCCATGGAGTTTCTTGAGCCAAAATGGATGAAAGAATGGTATAAAATCAAGGCTCCCCTGTTATGGGCCGTTCTCAGGTGTTTTAGGGTGAGAAATAGTGCCAAAATAAATTACCATAAGAGTTGGAGTCAAAATAGGAAACCAAATTTTTTTTCTAGATTTGGCCTGGGTGGGCGCCCAGTAGAAAATGGGGCGGCCGTCCATGCATAAAATCTGGTTTTTGTATTTGAAGTTTAGGGTTGGGCGGTCATCCGACCTATATAACTGGACAGCTTTCAGTATTTTCATCATAACTTTCTCTTCCGATATCCGATTGAGGTGATTCAAGATGCGTTGGAAAGATAACTCAAAGGGATACAACTTTGAATTGATTCCATTTTCGAATTTGATCGTTTGCCATGTCAAAAATTGGTCTCAATATGAGGCTAAAAATCGGTGCAAAACTTTTCAACTTGAAAGTTGATATGTGATAATGTTTTGACTATATTTCACCTCTTTTACTCATTTCTTCATCCAATTGACCTTTAAAACTCTCGAATCTTTATCACAAGGTTAGAAACAAGTTTAGATTATTTGCACATTGGTCCTTGAACTTTTGTTTTCCTCCATTTTGGTCATTTTTCACTTGTTTCTATTTATTTCACGACATTCATCACTCTATCCTGCAAAACATGAATTACCCATGCCCTTTCCTTCGTACCGATTGACTATACTTATCTGGGCGCACCTATTCATGGTCTTGCAACATCAACGAATCCACAAGATCAAAATTTACAGCCTCATTTTTCAAATCAAGCGAAAACACAATTTTCAGTTGCAATTTTCGATGTTAGTGGTAGGACCCATGATCACGGACCACCTATTCTGGCATCATCTGATCACAACGCAGAAATTTCACCTACGAGTCTTCAACAATTCAGCTCCCATATGACATATTGAACATGGATAGTAAATGCGTGCGATGAAGATTATGGCCATCGATTCCGGCCAAATCCGGTGACGTTAGGGTTGGTGGCTGGGTGGTATGTGTAGAGGGGAGTGAGGGTTTTCTAATGGTATGGAGTTACGGTGGTTTGGGTGGTGGTTGACCGGAGTTTTTAAGGTTCAAAGGTGGTGGTTGGCCTGCGTTTTTTGCGTATGGTGAATTTTTATTTATACATTAGGGACCCATTTGTAATCCTTTGAAATTTTGGGACTATGATTTTAATTTGTTCTTTATTTGTTCTTTTCCTTTCTTTTTGTTTTATTTAAATATGAGGATATTTTTTTCATTTTACATCTTTTAATTGAAAAAATAGATGAAACTAATGATTTCCGTAATGAAACGTAGATATAGAGGTGAAAATGCCAATTTGAAATGCAATGATGTTTTTCAGGTTAATTAGCACAAAACGTCCCTACCTTTGGGGTGAATTTCGAAAACTGTCACTACCTTTTATTTCTTCGCATTTATGCCCTTACCTTTGGGGTTTTGGTGCGCTGAACATCATTTTCACT